GAACTGAGAAACCGCTTCAATTCTATCTGGAAGCAGTGGGTTGCTGAAGTGTCCTCTGCTGCTCCCCCTCTGGAACAGGTCGACATCGATGTGGATATAGAAAATGTCCTTCTAGATCACTTTAAGGAGCCTAATGTAGTTAAACAAATATTGAATTTCTACCAAAATAATACATTTTCCTTTAACATAGAGAAACATGTGTCTAAGAAAAAAGGCTTCGGCATCTTTTCTAAGAGTTTGGACGATGCCGATGTGAACAACATGCACCGCATTACAGAGAGCATCATAATGCGTGTGAAGGCAAACATTGAGAAGAAGGAAAAGGACAAAATGGATTACAGTCGAACTTTTATTCATGAAATACTAAATGAAGTGGAGGAAGGTATGAACTCTGTTCCTAACACTGCAAATTACATTTTAATAAAGAATACAAATAGGATTATCACTGACCTGTGCAGAATGGCAGCAGAAAGGTTTAAAGACATGCACAGCATTCAGGAAAGCAAATGATCCAGTCGTCTACCTGGAAGCAAGAGAGAAGACTTCTTAAATGTTTCCAGATTTCCTGCCAAGGAGCCTCTTGTATCACAACATTTGCTGATTTCCTGTGCAGCAAGATTGCCCCAGCTCTTCGACACGTCATCTATGAGAAGACAGCTCTTGACATAGCTCGAGACGTGAAGGATAAAATTCCAGATTTCAGAGGCAATAGATCCACTCTGGAATATTACATGCTGAAATACCTAGCAGAAGAAGAAAAATTTGAAAATTTCAAGCATTACCTTAATGCCCCAGGAGACTTTTTAAATAATTACATTAAGACAAAAGTTGAGACGTACTGTTTAGATAAGAACAAAGGCTAGAGATGTTTTTAAGAGACTCCCTCTCTCATTACTTGAAAACATTCAGTCAGCTGTTTTTGCATCAACCAGGTTGTCAAAGACAGAAAAGACAGAAAGGATAAAATCTCTCTTTGGCTGGATGAATTCTGCAGAGCACTTAGAGAGCTAAGCTTGCCCAGGAGCAACCTGAAGGGCATTGAACATCAGGAGATAACAGACATAGAGTTCCTGAATAATGCCATGACAGAAGCACTGTCTCCCGTTATTGATGATCTCAGGAAAGAGTTTGAAGAAGCTCGTATGAGCTCCTTTGAAAGGCAGCCTCACACAATACTGGCTGAGCAGTTTGCAGGGTGCCAGGAGCAGTGTCCATTTTGTGGGGCTGTTTGCACTAACACTATGCCAAACCATGACGGAGACCACCGGGTTGTCTTCCATCGTCCACAAGTTTTAAGAGGATACAGATGGCATAAAACAGACAACCTAGTCATTGATATTTGTTCTAGCAATGTTTCAAGTGGCTGCTTTTTCAGGATTGGTGAAGACACATGGATCCCCTACAAGAAATACCGGGATGCAGGACCTCCATATTCCACTTGGAGCATTCTTCCTGATCCATCCATGCAAGCATAGGAAATGGTTTGTGTCTTTTTCAGGAAAGCTAGAAAACACTACAATGGGAAATTTCATGGCAGAGGAGAAATCCCTGCTTCTGGAAAGTTACAAACAGAATGCACTACTGAACTGGAGAAATGTTAGGCTAAGTTGGTATGAAGGAAAAACTGCAAGTGCTTTGCATTTTAGAAGAACATAATACGAGGATAACCACAAAATCTTGTAATGATTATGACTTAAACCATGCCAATAAAACTAAATGTAATTGCTGCAACGTTGGGTGAACTAAGGAGTGTTTCTCATGCCATTGCTCAGCGATTCCCTTGCTGTGTGATAAAGTCAAAGTCCTCTTCCTTTCTTGCCATAAATATTTACATCAGCTTTTGTCTTAAAGCAAACTAGAAAAAATTCCTGAGCAAGAGTCATACGCCAAGATCAAGACCAAGTGCCAGATGAAGAGCAAAGGCAGCATTAGAAGACCAGTTTTATCAGCTGCTATGGGAAAAGAAATGACACTGGCAAAAGAACAGTTTCCCTGCAGGAATACTTGTCACACTTGCAGAAAGGACAGAGGGGTCTGCGAGCAGGTGAACATTTGTGGGGAACTTGCTATTTTGTTTTTGGGATTTTGTTTGCATTCATAAACCCAGTACTCAGGTGCTGTTCTCTTTCTGATGCCATTAAAGCAATTAACGCAGCAGCCTATGCAGATTTAGACAGTGATTTTAACTCTGTGGTTATTAGGTATAAGTCCTAGGTTAAGATGTGCCCCACTTCCATGAGCCATTCCTATTCATGAGCCTGGCAAAGTTCCCTCCAGCTCCTAGCCACCCCAACTGCTTTTGCCAAGCACTTCTGTGTTGGGTAAAAGCCCTTTATAACCAATGTAGAGAATTAGACAGCTTTGCAGCTTCCTCAGCAGCTGTCAGCAGTGCGTGAGCTTAGCATTTGTGCTGTCAAGACAGGCAGGTGGCAACTGAACAAAAAGGGTCTGGAGAACATGGAAGTGGCTCTGCCTGCACCAGCGCAGAGGGAGGGGGTGTTTACTGTGCACTTTTCCTGCAATCCTGCTGCAAACCCAATGACCAGAGTCTCCTGAAGAGCTGTCAAGAGTGGTGATTCATTATAATGCTTTGTAGTCTTTGCTAATAAACTGTTTGAGTTGGACTGGACTGGTCTCTGCGTGCTTCATTTCAAGGTGAGCCACAATTCTCCTAGAATCATAAAATCAGAATGGTTTGGGTTGGAAAGGACTTTGAAGATCATCTAGTTCCAATCCCCCTGCTATGGGCAGGCCCACCTCCCACTAGATCAAGGTTGCTCAAAGCCCCATCCAGCCTGGCCTTGAACACCTCCAGGGATGGGGCATCCACAGCATCTCTAGGAAACCTGTGCCAGTGCCTCATTGCTGTCATATTAAAGATTTTCTTCCTTGTTTCTAAGCTAAATCTCCCCTCTTTTAGTTTAAAGCCATTATCCTTGTCCTATTGTTACACGTCCTGATAAAGAGTCCCACCCCAGCTTTCCTGTAGAATCCTAGAATCATGAAGGTTGGAAAAGCCCTCCAAGATCATCTGGTCCAACCATCACCCGATCACCAATGTCACCCACCAAACCATGTCCCCAAGCACCACGTCCAACCTCTCCTTGAACACCCCCAGGGATGGTGATACCACTGCCTCCCTGGGAAACCCATCCCAACGCCTGACTGCTCTTTCTGAGCAGAAATGTCTCCTCATTTCCAGCCTGAACCTCCCCTGGCACAACTTGGGCCCATTCCCTTCTTATCGATGGGTGTCACATTTGCAAGTCTCCAGTCATCTGCAACATCTCCAGTTGACTAGGCCCGCTGATACATGATGGAAATTGGCTCAGCAATCACATCTGCTAGTTCCCTCAGCACCCTCAGGTGGATCCCATCTGGCCCCATGGACTTGTGACAGTCCAGGTGGAGCAGCAGGTCTCTTACTCTTTCCACCTGAACTGTGGGGGGGTTATTCTGCTCTCCGTCCCAGACTTCCAGGTCGGGAGCCTGAGCCCCTGAGGATAACTGGTCTGACTGCTGAAGACAGATGTAAAGAAGGCATTGAGAATCTCAGCCTTTTCCTTATCCTCCGTAGTCATGTTCCAGTAAAAGATGGAGATTCTCCTTGGGCCTGCTCTTATATATATCAATATATATATTTATATTTATATTTATATTTATATTTATATTTATATTTATATTTATATTTAAATTATATATTAAACATTATATACATACATATTTATCATATATATCATTATATATTATTACTGTATATAATATAATATAATATAATAGAATATATATAAAATATATAATATATTATACATATATATAGTATATAATATTATATTCTATGTATTTCTCTCCTAGTGGGCACCGAGCTGAACAGGAGCCAGCAAAGGGCCCTCGCCACAAAGAGGGCTGCTGCTCTGTTGGGCTGCACTGGGCAAAGTGCTGCCAGCAGGGCAAGGGAGGGGATCCTTCCTCAGCACTGGTGAGGCCCCGTCTGCAGTACTGGGACCAGGCCTGGGCTCCCCAGGATGAGAGAGACCTGGATGTACTGGAAAGAGGCCATGAAGACACTGCATTCCTAATTCATCTAACAGTCCAGCCATCAAATTCATCTCTCTCCAAGACTGTTCTGTCCAAGGCCATTTCCAAAACCATCAACAATCGTCTCAGAGTTTGTGCAGGATGGGAAAAGCCCCCGCGCTGAAGCAGGCCAAGAGCAGCTGCTCCTGGCAGGAGGACCAGGGGTGAACAGGGACTCACAAGCCCCCCCGGTCCTAATTCATCTAATAGTCCAGTACATCTCGCACACCAGAGTAAATCAGTAAACAATCATTTTATACGCCCCCCGGGATAATAAGCTGATAAAAAATACAACCAGTATGCATTTGTCAAGACCAAATGCTATCCTGACAATCTAATTCCCTTCACTGATGGCTTAATTGGCCTTGAGGATGGGGAGACCAGGCTGAGCCTCACTATGACCAACTCCCAGGGCAGGATGAGGCCTTGGTGATGCAGCTTGGGGAAGGGTCTGCAAACCCCCAATCCCAACTTGCTTCCTAAATGCAAGGCTAGGTGGCAGCCAGCCTGGGGCTCTGGGAACGTGTGTCAGCTGTGCAAGGCTGCTCCAGAAGGGTAAAACCTCTAATTTTGAGGTGGACGTGGTGGGAGCATTGTGGGGGAGGACAGAGCAAAGGCAGCAGTCCCTGGTCAGGACTCTGTACGATTTTATGTTTGCATCCCACTAGGCCGGGGTGCGGGCCAGCACAGGCAGGCAGCAGAAAAAACAACAGACCCACAGCTGAAACACAAAGAGTAAATTTATTTTCATTACAGAATCACAGAATAGTCTAGTTTGGAAGAGACCTCCAAGATCACCTAGTCCAACCTCTGACCTAACACTAACCAGTCCTCCACTAAACCATACCACCAAGCTCTACATCTAAACGTCTTTTCAAGACCTCCAGGGATGGTGACTTAACCACTTCCCTGGGCAGCCCGTTCCAATGCCTAACAACCCTTTCGGTAAAGAAGTTTTCCCTAATATCCAACCTAAACGTCCCCTAGCCCAACTTCAGCCCATTCCCTCTCATCCTATCATTGGTGTGTGTATATTTGCTGCCATACTTCTGATGCAGCAACTGTTGATAAAATCACAGAATCCCAGAGCGGTTTGGGCTGGCAGGGCCCTCAGAGCCCCCCCAGTGCCACCCCCTGCAAGGTCTTAACACCCTTTGGTACATGTGTGTGATGTCGGTCTCTGACAGAAGATCTGCAGCTGGTAAGGGGCCTCTCAGCCTCCAGCAGTGTCCTGGGGAGCTGTCCCTGATCGTGGGGTGGCCGCCACCACGCAGCCCACTGCTGTGCAGGGAAAGCCCCCAAAAGCTCATGCAGCCATATTTATGGAATAAAGCGGTTGGCTTGTAGTCAGACTACAAAAAATGGGAAAGGCAAGCACAACACTCCTTGCACCCACGACTTCTTTTACTCCCTGATAAATTAGTCTTGGAAGAACCTCCTGCTATTCGCTTGTTAATCACATGATGATGAAATGGCCTCAAGTTGCACCAGGGGACGTTTAGGTTGGATATTAGGGAAAATTTGTTCACTAAAGGGTTGCGAGGCATTGGAAGAGGATGCCCAGGAAAGTGGTTGGGCCACCATCCCTGGAGGCGTTCAAAAGGCATGTAGAGGTGGCGCTTAGGGACATGGTGTAGTGGTAGACTTCTCAGTGCTAGGTTAACAGATGGACGTGGTGGTCTTGGAGGTCTGTGCCAACCTAAATGAGTCCATGGTCCTGTGAACTGGTTTCCAGGCTGACGAACATCAAAGCACACCACACAACCTGATTCAGGGGGGTTCCAAAGAACAGGCAGGAATCAAGGAAGTTTGTGGCCTGGTCAGGGCCTAGGCCTTTCTTTCTTGGGAGCCCGAGCCAAGCTGCTGTGGGCTAGGTCAAGGAGTTGAGTGCATCCATTGCAGTTAATCGTAGGTATTCTTGTTAGTGGTGGTTGGCAGTAATCTGTAATCAGGTAGAGAAGCTTAGGGAATAAAGCCTCGGTGTCCTCGTGTATCATGGACTCCTGTGAACCCCCAGCTGCAATTTCCATGCACCCAAGGGTGACACAGGAAAGGTGTTGGGTGGCAGTGCCTGCAGGGTGGTAGGGGACATCCCTTGGCACAGATGTCCCTCCAGACATCTTCCAGTGCTTGTTTTACCACCTCTACCAGGGTGCACTTCCCCAGTTTGGTGCCGCTCAGCCCCAGTTTGGACCTGTTTGACCTTTGGAGGATGCAGGCCTGAGCAGCTCCAAGGGGCAGGAGAAGGACAGCAGCTCAGCTCTGTGCTGATGTCCCAGGATCCCAGGACAGGAACAGCCGGGACAGACTGCCACAATGCCCAGGACATCCCGAATCAACAGCCCCAGGAGGTCATACAGCAGCCAAGAAGAGGAAGCATTGAGTGAGCATCCTCTTGTGCATCCCTCTGGAGCCCATGGTGCTGCAGGAGGTTACCAGCGTGAAGGCAGGGGAGGCAAAGGAAGGGATGGGCAGCAGCTGGGGCACACCAGGAGATGTGCTGAAGAAATCCAGATTCTGAAGGAGCAGGGGCAACAGGACAGGGGACACGCAGAGAGTGTCATCTGCCTGGATGTCCAGAACAGCCCCAACAGGATCCCTCACCACAATGGCTTAGAAAGGTAAGGCTGGGATAAGAGAGAGGGTCCTAACATGGAAAAGCAGTTACTGAAAAGGGAGAAAGAACAAATGGTGAATTGTCACCATGGAGGGAAGCCTCCGGGGAACACCCCCTGAACACTCAAGAGAAGATGGGAGCTGTGGTGGTGGCACTGACCGGTAGTAAGGGGCTGCAAAGGCTGTGGCAGGATGGAAGGAGACCGGCTGCTGAAAGGGCAGACTGCTCTGCAAAGTGATGCACACCCAAAAAGCAGGCTCAGCCTCACGCCTCCAGGGATGAATATGACGCCAGCTCCCCAGGCGAGACCTTGGGGTTGTAACAAGCAGGTCCACAATGGCAAAGATGTTTGAGCCAGGGAGCTGGGAAGAAACGTGTCTGCGGGGCAGGGGAAAATGTGCACGTGGCAAGGGTTTGCTGGGCCAGGAGCACGCTTGCTGGAAGCATCCTGCTTTGTGAAGCCTGGAGCAGACGGAGCTTTCTCCCACCTGAGTGTGGGAGCAGAAAGGAGCCACCAGCACAAGGAGCTCCTGCCCCTGCAGCACCCCCACCGCCAGCAGGAGCACTGATTCCCACTCTGGGCATTCACATCTTCAACACGCGCTGCTATATTGGCTGTGTCCTCTGCTGGGGTCTGCTGCCCTCAGACTGGAGACTTTGTTTATTCAACATTTCTATGCAAAAACCCACTGGGCCCCAGCACCGTTGCTTACTCCTTGGGATCAGACACGTGGGTTCCATCCGGACTGCAGCCCACGGCTCCTTCAGAACAGCGAGCAATAAAACACACACCGCACTTTGCTCCATTGCTGAGGGCACCCAGCTGCTTTTTAAAGCCATAATTTCACCTGTCTTGTGTTTTTTTTTTCTTTTTTTTTTTGTTCTTTTTTTTTTTTCCCTAATGAAAAGTAGTTTAAGTGTATTAAAAGAGCCTCAATTAGGTGACAAAACTGCAGGATATGCCAGCGGGCAGGGTTCGGTCTTGATGCTCCCCCAGCTCTCTCCTGTGGCTCTGCAGCCCCATACCCAAAATCTGGCCCTGGTGCTGCAGAGGTCACCTAGCACTGCAGGAAACAAACATGCACACATCGCTGTGAGTTTTGTCTTAAAAAGCCATCATCCTTCCAGCTCCCAAGGAAAACAGGAATAGAAAAAAGAAAGAGATGAACAGAAGGGGAGGGAAAGGAAAACCACTACAAGCTGCAGCTCAGCTGGCTCAAATTGAAATTGGAGCTCTTAATCCACGAAGAAACATCTATACGCAAATCCCCCTGCTGCTATTTTTGCCTTCCTAAAACTAGTGTTAGCCCTAGAGTTGGCAGAGCCATTAGTCATTAAATAAGCAACCAGCTGCTGTGGCCACAGGGGTGTTTCAAGCAGCCTTCTGGCAGGGTGCTGCAGACCAGCAGGGACACGGTGGGGTGGCAGTGAATGGGGACAGGGGATTGGGACACCCTCGGGCACCCACGCTCCAGCACAGCCTCCGTTACCAGTGCCAGGCTGCTGCTCACAGGTCAAAGTGGTGAGCAGGTGAATTTGTTCCCCAGTAGTATTTCTGGAGCAGAAGAGAAAAATATCAGTCTTATAAATAAACCCAGTAAATGCTCCGAGCTGTGCAAAGACATCAAAGGTGCTCCCAACAAGAAACTCACACCGAGAGCCCCCAGCTCCCCAGTGCCCTGAAGCTCCTGGAGTTTCCAGGGCTCAGGCAGCCCCATGGATGCTCAGAAAAATCCAGGGGTGCTCGAGCAGCCCCAGGGATGCGTGGGCAGTCCTGGTGAAGCTCAGGCAGTCGTAGGGATGCTCCAGAATGCTCCAGCAGCCCCCAGACGATGCTTGGACACAGGCTGCTTGGTGATGCTCAGGCAAATCCAGCGATGCTCCGGCAGCCTCGGGGATGCTCAGGAGCTCTGAGTGTTTGGGCAGCCGGAGAGAAGTGGGCACAGGCACGAGGGGTGCATCAAGCACGGCATCGCTAGTAGGTCGAGGGAGGTGATTGTCCCGCTCTACTCTGCGCTGGTGCGGCCTCACCTCGAGTACTGTGTGCAGTTCTGGGCACCACAGTATAAAAAGGACATGAAACTGTTGGAGAGTGTCCAGAGGAGGGCTACGAAGATGGTGAAAGGCCTGGAGGGGAAGATGTACGAGGAACGGCTGAGGGCACTGGGCCTGTTCAGCCTGGAGAAGAGGAGGCTAAGGGGAGACCTCATCACAGTCTACAACTTCCTCGTAAGGGGGTGTCGAGAGGCAGGAGACCTTTTCTCCATTAACACCAGCGACAGGACCCGCGGGAACGGGGTTAAGCTGAGGCAGGGGAAGTTTAGGCTTGACATCAGGAGGGGGTTCTTCGCAGAGAGAGTGGTTGCACACTGGAACAGGCTCCCCAGGGAAGTGGTCACTGCGCCGAGCCTGACTGAATTTAAGAAGAGATTGGACTGTGCACTTAGTCACATGGTCTGAACTTTTGGGTAGACCTGTGCGGTGTCAAGAGTTGGACTTGATGATCCTTAAGGGTCCCTTCCAACTCAGGATATTCTATGATTCTATGATTCTATGCAGACAGCACAGCTGGTGTTGCCTCTGCACGTCCTCCCAGGCTGTGCTCTCCAGCAGTTTCTGCGTTCTCCACCCTCCCACGGTGACCAAATCCACTTTTCAGGGGAGCAGGGCAGTCCCCAGGCCAGGCAGACCCTTGGGGACATGCGGCCATCCTGCAGCTGCACCACTGCCCCATTGCTGCGAAAAGGAGCTGCCAGAGCCCCAAAACTGCAACTGCTGAGTTTGGGGCTTCTCCTGGAGGGTAGACAGCCCCAAAGGGAGCCTGGTGCTGCCCCCAGTGAGATTTGGGATTAGGGGAGGTGAGGTTTGGGATTAGGGGAGGTGAGATTTGGGATTTGGGGAGCCATGCCAGCAGGGACTACAGGAGTAAAAATACAAACGGGTGCAAAACCAGATGGCACAGCATGAAACAAGCTGTGGTCCATGCAGGGGAATAGCACGACCTGGCCCCAGCCAGTGCTCCACTGCCCTATAAACTCGGGGTCCCCAGCCCCCTGCATGCGCCAGCCCTCTGCAAGCCCCGGCCCCCTACAAGCCCCAGCCCCTGCTCCTCGCAGAACAGAATGGGCAAATTGGGAGCGAGCCCCCATCACCCAGTAACTCCCCTGTCACCCACCACGCTGGCACCCTCAGGCTGCCCTGGCTGTGCCCCAGACCCCCGGGGGATCTGGGCACATGAGGGGTGCCAGGACCCCATATGCAGCCGGGCTGCTGTGCATGGGTACAACAGGCTCCCAGCAAGGAGTGGGGACCCTTCTACCTCGTGCCCACGGCCAAGGCTGCCTCTCCTCGCTGTCTGGGAGGCAGCAGGTCCCTCAAGCACAGCCACTCCGGTGGTTTCACAGCTCCAGCCACGTTTATTGAGGCCCTCAGCCCTGCCCTGCTGCTCTGCACACCCTGCCAGCCCCGGGGTCGGAGGCAGAGGGTGCCCCAGCACCTCCTTCGTGGGCTCCCCCATCGATGCGCTGCTCCTGGGCACAGCCAAGGAAGGTGTCACACCTCCGTGTCCCCTCTCTGTATCCCTCACACCCTGGGCTTACAGCAGGATCTGGTGGCTGGGGACGATCCCTGCTGTGTTATTGCCACAGGGCTCCCCACACCCCGCGGGGCGCAGTGGCACCTTGTGGGACCCGGTGTCACCCGGCAGCAGGTGGCTCACGGGGTGAGGGCGAGGGCAGGCTCCTTCTCTCGCGCAGCCCTGCCTCTCCAGCCAGGTTTGGGTTTTTCTGGGGGACACGGTAGGCCTCGGGACTCCTTCCAGCACCGCTTCCATGTCGTGTGCTTAATTCCAGCCGCCGCTTTGTCATCCCATGGCATCGCCTCCCTGCTCGCAAGCTCCTGTCCACGTCACTCTGAGGACAGAGGTGACCACAGTCCATCTGGAGGCACCCCCGGCGTCCTCACGGCCGGTGCCCCCCGTGGATGCGCTAAGGGGGATGCTCACCCCCGGCGATGCTCAGCAGCTCCTCCAGCTCCTGCTGCAGCCGCAGCCCCAGCAGCTCCCGCAGCAGCTCCCGGCGCCGGCTGCGGGGGGCGACCCCCATGCGCCGCAGGGTCCCCTCAGTCATTCGCAGCAGGGCCCGGCCGCTGACCCCGTGCTCGGCCGCCAGCTGCACCAGGTCCCCGTCCCCGCACCGCGCATCCAGCCAGGCGCACACCTCCGGCACCGACCACTGTGCTGGGGGCCCCTCCGAGACCTGCACCGGGAAGAGAGGGGTGAGCTGGGGTGTCCCCTCGCCCCCCCAGCCCGTCCCTCCAGCCCCGTGGGGGATACGGGGTCAGGCTGGCTGCTCCATGCCCAAATTCCACCCCTCCCCAAAATGGGACCCTTCTGCCATCCCCGTGCCCATGCTGGTGCCGGTGCTCACATCCCCGTGGGGTCTCCAGTTCACCCCCGGGGACACTCAGCCCCAGCCCAGCCCCCAGCCCCTGCCCTCACTCACCTCGGCCAGCGAACATCCCTCCGACAGAGCCTCGGCACCATCCTGCACCTCGGCACCATCCTGCGCCTCGGTGTCCATGTGGGGGTCCGGCAGGGCGCGGGGGCAGCTGGGGCTCCCTACAGAGGGGGCTGCAAAAGCTGGGGTGAGCACAGCCCCCTGCACCCCTATTCCACACCATCCCCTGGGGTGTGGTGGCTGCCCTCCCCCAGTGCAGACCCCTCCTGCCCACCCAATTCCCGTCCCCCCAGTTGGAACTGGGACAAGGCCCCAGCACCCATCCTGCCGCGTGGGCGCACGGAGCCGGGCACACCCGGGAAGCGAGACCAGCCCCAGCTCCCCACCACCTCCGCAAGCCCCGGGGGGCTCCGGCGTGCCCTGGCACCCCCAAGCCAGCCCAGACCCCTTCCCCAGCCCAACGTCCTCCTCCCCACCACCCTGCAGCTCACAGCTCTGCCCTGGGTCGAGCAGGAACCCACTGCACGGGAAGCAGGAGAGCAAAAGGAACCTTTGCCCGGGCGCTCCCTCTGCAGGCACCCCAACAGCACCCAGGGCTGCCAGGGGTGCGGCGGCTGCTCTGCGAGCTCCAATCGTGCTCCCCCTTCCTCTTTGCCCTACCCCAGCCCTGGCTTCACCCTCCCCACACAGCTCCAGGGGTTGGCGAGACCCCGGCCAGAGCCAGACACGAGGTTTTCCAGGGGTTGGAGGAGGGCAGAGCGGGGCAGCATCCTTACCACAACCAGGTGCAGGAGCTCTGCAAAGGCTCCCCCCTCTCCCGTCCCCGTTAGGTGCAGAAGGGGCCCATCGCAGCCCGTCCCACGGGGTAAAAGCCCCCACGCAGATCGACGCGGGGCGCACCGCAGCAGCCTCACCTCCAGCGCGAGCGCCAGAACAGGGCGAGCCCCGAGGATGAGTCACATCCCGAAGGGCTGCAGCCCTGCCCCTACCTGCAACAGTCCCCGCTGCCCGTGCCCCCCTTCCACGCAGCCCCGGGGGTGTCCTGGGGCCAGCTCAGTGCCCACGCAGGCAGCGCCAGGCTGGGTAGCAAAGCGAGCACCCAGACATCGCTGTCGGGTGGTGATAGGTATCTTTAAAGGCTGCTGAACCCAACACATCCCGCAAAGTAGGAGTGCACCAAGCTATTAAGCAACTTCCAGGGGTGGGGAGAAAAAAAAAAGGAAAAAAAAAATAAGTCTTGTGCATCCAGGTAGACGCAGAGCTGGCAGGACTTTGACAGAGCCCTGGGAACATGCTCCCACGTGTGTGGGAACGCCGGGGAGTGCAGTGGTACCGCTTCACACCGTCCTACCCCAATGGGCTGGGAGGCACGGAAAGGAGGGTGGGGATCAGTGCCTGGTCTCCATAGCACCCCTCCCAATCCCCAGACCCCAAAGGGACCTCTGCCCCGTGAAGCTCTTGGTGACGTGGATGCCCCCAGCTACCCAAATGTGGGCAGAGGGATGGATTTTCAGCCACTCCGGCTGCCCAGAACGGTCCGACCGCAGCAGAGCCTCCCTCTGCTGGGACACCAGGTCCACGAAGCACACGAGGTGTTTATAGAAAACCAAAGTGCTGCCCCTGCTCCTCAGCTTCCCTCCCACCCACAGGCAGCTCAGCACAGAGCAGCAGCATTGCACAAGATTTCCAGCCAGCACCAAGCAGGCAGCACCCGCCGTCCCACCCAGCTCTTATCGCAGCTTTGCCTCCACAATTGCAGGGCTGCTCAGCAGCAGGTGGCTTGCAGAGGCAAGGTTCCTTCCGTACAAGGGAGCCGAAGATTTTTTGCAGGGTGTTTTGGAAGATTTCTGTAGTGCCTGGCATAGCCCAAGCCACCCTCATCGTAATAAAAACATGAAAAGGTGAAGGAGGAAAAAAACTCAGAACATTAACCAAAAGGGCAGGAACAACAATCTCATGTTCCCAAAATCCTGGGAGAACGAATCTGCAGAATCGATGTTTGTTTGTCACCAGCTTGTTTCTGCCCAAGTGTTTTTAAAATTCAGAAACAGGGACAGGATAACACCAAAAATGTGGAATTAATGTGCCACAGAGAAGCAAGGGAGAGGGGGAAAAAAAAACACCAGCCAAACTTTTTTTTCTCTCCTGGTTTATTGTGGCAAACATCAGCGAGACTCAATTCTGAGGCAATTTGCTAGTTCCATGCTGTTCAGACATCGTGCAATCTTCCCCCTTTGAACCAGGTCAGCCACTTGAGTTTAAACCTGCTTCTGAAGTTGTTACTCCCTACAACGGCACGTTACCCCACATCTCAGCCTGCCGACATTCAGCACTTTGTGGATCTCCTCACCTCTGAGCTTCATTCTTTGTACAGCACTTGGGAATCCTTCTTTTTTTCTTTTCCAGGGAAAAAGAAAATAATAAATCTTGCTTCCTGAAGAATTACAGTAGAAATCAGACTGGTTACAAGGACCTCGGAGACACTAAGAGCCACATTAACTTTTATTTTCCTCCACCTGGAATACGTCTTAGAGTGCGTTTATTAGCTGAAAATTACCAGCAGTGTAGCTAAAAGGTATTTACAAAGGCCACCAAAAATCCTTCCCAAGAAGGATTGTTTGTATCTTTTTATTAGTGCATTGAAATGGCATTGCCAGGCACAGAATACTCGTTGATGAATACTCCTTCAGCAGTCCCTTGTCCCATTACTGAGGGTAGAGCTCCACTAGCATCGCGTGCCCCTAGAAATGGAGAGAAAAAGAGAACAGGCACAGAAAGGACTGGGTATTACAGGCAGCAGTCAACAGGAGATGCCCACCTCCCGCCCATACTAAAATAAAGGTGAGGTGGGAGCCCAGAGCTGACTCACGATCAGATTTGCTCTGGCAGCTCCGTGCCAGCACAGGGCTGCTCCAGGTGCCGAGGCAGACCAGCACACCACGCTGCTCCCAAGGCAGCCCCTAAAGCACTCAGCGAGGGGTGAGCCAGGGCCAGGCCCTCGGGTTACCCACAGAACTACCCCCAGGCAGCACAACGCTCAACCAGGGCTCCCATCCCCAGCCTGATGGAAATCAGGAACATTCCATCTCCCACCCATTTTTCTTGTAGAGATCTTTCTTCCCAAGATTGGAAGGATGAGCCTCACAAGCTAAAATCTGGGAAGGTTTTGAGAGCCAGCACACAAACCCCTGAGGTCGTGGCAGAAACCTCTCCTTCCCCTGTGTATCCCACAGGCAGCAACACGCTGCGTCCCCACTGCCCAGGGACGATTCTCCTGCTGGGCTGGAGGGACTAGCAAGCAATCGGGGAGGAGGGAGGTTTTAGGGGAACAGTGGCAGACCACACGGCATCATTACCTGCCCTCCTGCAGCACAGGCAGCAATCAGGCCGTACTGCCCTCCCTCCTTCTTCAGCCTGTGGGCAGCAGTAATCGCAAGGCGGCAGCCAGTGGCACCGAAAGGATGTCCCAGCGAGAGGGAACCGCCCCAGGTGTTGAACTTCTCCAGAGGAGGGGCTCCGACCTGCAGGAACAGAGGGACACGCGTAATAATCACCTGTCTGGAAGGAGGCTGCGATGATACCGAACCCCCAGAGCCAGCCTGGGCTGCTGGGAAGCGTTCCTTAGCACGTGTGTGTGCCTGATGATGGCACAAAACCACACCAAAAGCTTTTCTGCTTCACCCCCAGCCGGGCAGGTCCAGCCCGTGCTGTCAGAAGGAATAGAGGAGCTCTGAGCGCCAGCCACTGCTTTGATTCCTGTCTCACCAGCTGCTACAGCTCTAGGTCTCCACCTGCTGGCACTGGGAACGCCTCCACTCCCACAGAAACTTCTGATTCACTGACCCCAGAGCTTGAGAAAGCCCCTCACAGAACACAGGAGCTCTAGCCACAACGTGGAATCCAACGGTGCTGGGTGTAAATGAAATACAAAGACAGCCTGGCTGTGTGCTTACCTTTGACTTCCTGCCCATGTAGTTTTGTGCAAACCAGTCCGAATCCATAGCTTTCAAGTTAGCCAGTATCTGCCCCTGAAAGGGAAGGGAAGGCAGACTTTGAGGAAAATCCACAGGCAAACAGGAGGTGCCCCAAGATCAGCTCCAGCCACAAAACTAACACAGCCAACTGAAGAAAGCATTTTACAGGAGCAACCCTGTTAACCAGCATTAACTCAACCTTAGAATTGCAGGCCTTAAAGATCACAGACCTTAAAGATCACCCAGTTCCAGCCCCCTGCAGGGGCACCTCCCAGCAGCCCAGGCTGCCCCCAGCCCCATCCAGCCTGGCCTTGGGCACCTCCAGGGCTGGGGCACCCCCAGCTCCTCGGGGCAGCCTGTGCCAGGGCCTCACCACACTCAAAATAAAGAATTTCCTTCTTATACATAATCTAAACCTACCCTAATTAGTTTAAAGCCATTCCCCCTTGTTCCATGACCCCACTCCCTGACACAGAGTCCCTCCCCAGCTCTCCTGCAGCCCCCTTTAGGCACTGACAGGCCAGGCCGCTGTGAGGTCTCCCCAGAGCCTTCTCTTCTCCAGGCTGAACAACCCCAACTCCCTCAGCCTGTCTGTAGGAGTTGCTCCAGCCCCTGGATCTTCTCTGGACTCCTTCTAATACTTCTGTGTCCTTCTGGTGCTGGGGGGCCCCAGAGCTGAGCGCAGGGCTCCAGGTGGGGCCTCACAAGAGCAGAGCAGAGGGGGACAGGGACAATCCCATCCCTCGCCCTGCTGCCCACGCTGCTGTTGGTGCAGCCCAGGGTAATCCTCAGCCTGGATTTGTGCTTGGGATTGCCCCAGCCCTGGTGCAGGACCTTGCACTTGGCCTTGTTGACCCTCATGAGGTTCACACAGCCCCACCTCTTGGCCTGTCCAGGTCCCTCTGCATGGCATCCCTCACCTCCAGTGTGTGGGCTGCACCACACAGCTCGGTGTCATTTAGCTAGAAAGAGACACCGCCCAATTAACAAGCCACGTCACCAAATTAACACATCCTAACCCATGTAGTAGATGACCTGCAGAAGTGGTTTCCTTCATACAAGGCTCTTGGTGACTTAAGATTTTTTTTAACGTGGTTCCTTGAAGAACCTGTACTCCCCCTTGGTGACCTCAAGCAACATAAGGCATCCTTCCAATGGGTTGTGCCAGTGCATAAAATGTTGGTTATTACCTGTGTATACACACCACTTACAGATCTACATTCAGGGGAGATCTTAACAAGTGCTTTCACCAACACAGAAGTGAAAAAACAGACGTCTGGCTGCAGAATGGCACCTTACAGCTAGAGGGAGCCTTGGCGTTCAGAGATAACTTACAGCAAAAGCTTCGTGGAATTCGAACACATCGATATCAGCCATGGTCAGGCCAGCCTTCTCCAGCACTTTGGGCGTAGCGTACGTTGGACTGAAAAAGAGAAGAAGAGTTAAGAACCAGGAGTCACACACGAATACATTTCCTCCCATCATTATTCCCGTTTTTCCACAGGAAGCCACATTACACTCCATCTCCCTCGGCTCTCTGCCTTTCCCACTCTGAAACACAGCCCCAAAAACCACCCCCAGCACCACGGAGCTGCGACACCCCCCAGCTAACCAGGGCGGATATTTGTGCCACAGCTGCTCTGCCGCGTTAGCCACATCCCCTGCCAAGTCACACCTACCACGCCAGCTCTCACACCTTCGTGAGAAGGCACAAAGAGGAAAAAAAAACAAAACCAAACCCACAATGGCAAGTCAAGGCTGT